TTGTTGCTATCCGTATACCGCAGGTACCGATGCCGCCTCCTGGCCTCGCTCGGCAGCTCCTGCATGGATTTCGAGACGATGTTGCAGATCGCGAGCCTGCCGGTGCCACCCCACGCCAGAGTTCCTCTTGGTTCAGGGTCATTATATAAGAGAAGCCTGGGCTTGGCATCAAGATTATAAGGACTGATCCTGTAGGAGGTTCCAAGCCAAACACCCAAACACCCTAAGCAAGCCCTGTGTAGACCCCGATTACAACCCAGTAAACATAACCTCAAATCCAAAAAGAAACCATCAACCCCGCACCCCGAGCTCCCAATGCCCTTTCTGTTCTTTTATGAAGTACATGGAAGCCTTCGAATCCGGTCATGTTGATGTGCCGGCATAATCTTGCATTGATCATGTCGAATTGTTCTACCCAAATCCTATGCAGTACGAAGCCATGGCCCATCGGTGCAATGGGGTCATAAAGGTACGCCAAGTTTGCTGCATTACCTCTATATATATATATATACATACATATATGCACCCTATGAACCCTTTAAACCCGTACAGCCCTAGGAACCCTCGCATCATACGGTTGCCGAAGCCTTTGAAACCTGGTTAGAGAGTCTGTGTCCACCTCATCTAGGGCATTACAGGGTTTGGGGTTAGCATGGCTGGTCTGATGTGGGTTGATACATTAATGGCTGGGCTCTGGGGTTCATTTACACTGCTTGAGAATTGGATAGGAAGAGCTGCCGATTGAGTCAGTACGGGGATCGATGTTCTGGTGATATAGATCACTGGCCTCTTTTCATTCAATGTGATGATGCATCAGCTTTTGTTGCCCTCAAATGACACCGGCCTGTTGCTGTATAAACCCTGCTTCGTGGCATCAACACCAGACAATCTGCAGTCTGTTCTCAATTGGTCCAATTGGTAGATGTAGCCCAGAACACCACACACCTACAGGATTAGCATACACATACCCCGACCTCTCCAACATGCTGCCTGCCACCACGTACTTCGCCACCGCGACTCTGGGGCAGCAGGAGCTTTGGCATCAGCAGGCCGGATCCGCTTTACCTTTATGGCAGGGTTTGGGGGGTACTTACATGTTTTCATATAGGCTTTCTAAGAGGTTCAGGGCCTTGAGGGGTTGAGGAATTTCAAGGAGGGCCGGGCTGCCGCCACGGTTTAGGGCTCTTTAGGGTTTTACAAGGGTTTATTGGGGTTAAGGGCTAATAGGGTTTGTTAAGGTGTCTATAGTATATATATATAGGGTTATATGACTTTATATAGGTTTGTATTTATGGTTTAGGGTTCCTATAGCTCCACAAACCTATTTAAAAAAAACCCTAAACAGTGCGACCTGGGAAGCCCGCATCGCCAGGTGTGTGTCAATTGGAGCTCGCGAACTGCAGCTTCCGCCGCTCGAAAGCTGGGGTCTTTAGGATTCGAGGGTTTTGTCACGGTTTAGGGACTCATAGGGTTTACAGGGCTTGTAGAGTTTATAATAGGGTTTTAGGTTATATAAGGTGTATATACATATACATATATATATATATATGGGCTTAGTTTCAATAGGGTTATATATTATATGGGTGCATAGGGTTTTCCAGTTTCGGGTTA